CCCGCGAAAAAGAGATTCGCGACTGTATCGCCTTCTTCGGCACGGAGCGTCGCTAAAATTTGTACCATGCGGTGATCTAATCAAGTGCGCTTACAAATCGCGGAACTGGCGAAAGAAACTCGAGTGGTTGATCCAGCACGGTGCTTATATTCAAGAGTATCCTGGTGGGCTCAACAGGCTGTGGCTCGATGTTTACAACAGACGCAACTCCCACGCAAGGCTACTCTGGTTGTCCCAGGAAATCTTGGTTAATACAGGCCACCACAGATCTGGAACATCTGACCTGGGGTCGCAATTGAAGGACCTCGTGTAACTATACGCAAAACCTTCGACCCTTGTCATACTACGATGGGTTTCTTTTAAATAGATGTTGATATTGTTTGTGCGGCCTTATTGAATAGCCACAAGCAACGTTCAATCAACAACAGTGATATATATATTCAGGGCACAGCAAATATAGCTTCAATACAATAGTGGTTTTGATGCCGTTATTCATGACAGTAACGGATTGATGTCAAGAATACACTTTGGGCCGTGCTAACCAAAACTGATGTAGTTATCATGCAAGATACTGTAGCATGCAATGAATGAATCGAAGAGAGCAGAAAGTGGAACTGACTTCGAGCGAGTCTATACMTTTAATTTTCCAATCTGCTGGGACAGCATTTCGTATTGAAAAAGCGTTAGAGGTTTTGAAGAGAAAGAACTGTTTTTTTCGGTCATACTGGCATCGATTATGGTGCGAGGTCCCGGTCAAGCTTCTTTGCTTCTTTTCCTCGCCAACTCGAATGGTCATAATGGTCGCGATGTTGCATGCTTACGGACTGGAATTGCTATATTGACGGTTTCCAGCACATATTGAGCCTATGCGGGCGGCCGTAAAGCTAATTGCGGAATCCCTACAGTAGTAGCCTGCGATCGCGAGTGAGTTCGGGTGTTCTTGCGGCCAAGGTCAGCGTCCTATGTATTGGCCCGTAAGAGTAGGATACAAGATAGTATGGTAAAAGTGGTGAGCTGTAACCGATGTATGTTTACCGCAGGGCAATAGTAGACTGTTCATCGCTCCCTAGAAACGATGATGTTTGGAAGCATTCAAATCAGCGTTATAACCAACTATACGGAAGTACTTCAGATAACTATCGTGCAAGTAAATTTGTCACCCTGGACATAGCCCGCTTATTATTCTCTCATATTCCGCCCTTGGCAAGCTCCAAAGCGACTGACTGGACGTAGTTCGTTTGTATCAGAGAAAGTCAGGCGAGCCGATGCCGAGTGCTGTTATATGACTATGCCGAAGAGTATACCTACCGAAATCAAAGAAATCACGAGCGGGATCATTGGTCTATATACGCCTGCGTTGGAACTAAGAGCGGTGATAACATTGGAGCTTGATGGCGTAGGAGATATGGAGTTACTTCCAGCGGGCATAGATTTGATAAGTGGAGTACTTGTTGTCTTTCCCAGCATTGCTGTCGTTGATATAGTGCCTTCACTTGGTGTAACTGTCAATGCCAGAGAGGTTGGGCGGTGATGTGGGAATGATGTAGCACTAGACAGCGCTGCTTGCGTAGATGGTATGTACTGTATAGCAGGCGGACGACTGGTACTCCCTACTCTTGGAATCTGAGTCTCTGATGCATTCGAGTACCAGCTATGGCTCGGTGTATATCCCTCGGGGATGGATGGCGAAGCTGTTGCACTTGATTTCAAGATTGCGCCACTTTCTGAAGTAAAAATCAGAGCATTTACCACTGTGCACGTTGTCGCGGAATTGTTGGCGCCCACAGTGGTGCTTGTGGTGCTTGTGGTGCTTGTGGTGCTTGTGGTGCTTGTGGTGCTTGTGGTGCTTGTGGTGCTTACATCCTTGTCCGTCTCCCACGTGATGGCTTGGAGGTTAAAATCACCCTTGATATCCAGACAAATGCAGCACCTAGCCAACAATGTGCTAACAATCAAGGGGAGGAGGACAGCGTAGCTCGGCATTTTCGCCCAGTTCTGTTTGAGAGTTTCTTAAGTGAGTTATCTCGAAGCATTAAATACACTTCTATGAACGAGATTTAGAACATTCTCTAGCGTTAGGAGTGCTGGCATGACTTTTCGACGGCTGTCACAAATTTCCCTTGCCCTCGTAAATTTGGTTGACTGTTGGGCAGTGAAAATGTCGCATCTTTCTTTCTTGGACCCCGTGTTGGATAATTTTTACCAAGGGCTACCTGAAGCATACATATATTTACGGGTGCCTCTACTAAATCAACGAAAAATGATTCAGCCAATTATAAATGCATAATATATAGTCGTCGCTTCAAGCTGATGATATTAACTGTTGCACTCGGAAGCGACCAATAGGTTCAATCAGGAAAAGAAAAGACATGACAACCAAGGGGAACTAGAGAGAAAAAAAAAAAAAAAAAGAAGAAGAGAAGAAAAGAGAGAGAGAACCAAAGAAGATATACATCGAGGAAAGGCACCCGACTAGATGGAGGAACCCTAGCTGCGACTGATATCTTGTGAACATCATTGTGCCACGACTCGGAACGACATGAATGTTTCTGCTCTCGTTGAGTCTTTGCGCGATACGGCAGGGAAAGCCCAGCGAAGCGAAGGCCTCTCCGCGCAATCTTTTCTCATCTCACTTGCAGTTTACGGGGTAATTTTTTTGGTAGCCACTGGAATCTTTAGCTTCCTGAAAGACCGGAGCTATGGTGTCTTGTAAGATTGAGGCACAGTGTCCACCATTCCTTTCACTTACTGACCGCAGCTACGTCAACAGCCAGCCAAGGCACCTTGTTGAAGCAGGACTGGAGCCGTTACCCAAAGAATTGGCTTTGTGTGTGAAGCTGCTGTGGTGCAATCTTCAGCAAGAAGATACACTGGTTGAGAAGTATGGTTTGGACTGCTACTTGTTCCTACGACTCCTACAGGTAGCTCTCAACATACTCGCGCCTGTAGCCTTATTGACGCTCCCGGTATTGTTGCCATTGAATTACACGGCCGGTAATGGAAGGCTGTCAGGAATTGATAAGTTCAGTATTTCGAGCATTCCAGGCGGGGAGGACTTTCGCTGTTGGATTGTCGCTCTAATTGCAGTTTTGGTCAATTTTCACTCGTGCCGCCTCCTCCTCTGCGATTTCCACAGACTTGCAAGGCTCCGACAGCAGCGGTTTTCACGTAACGCAAAAGGCAGAGAATCAGATGATAAGGCAAATGAAGGTGACAGCATCTTAATTACAGACGTACGTCCCGAGGCATGGCGCATGGATGCCTTAGCCCAAGCGTATCAAGGCTATAACACTGGTCCAAGCCAAATCACACTTCCAGGGGAAGACGAATGTCATGCCAAAGAGGCTGAACTAGCCGCCCTTGTCGAAGTCACCAACAGGGAACAAAAATTATCCCCGGTCGCGAGGCGTCGGACTTTCCTGGCGCGGCTGTCGAATAGTCTTGCACAACCCAGGACAGTTGACGAACTCAGAGTATCGCGAATTCACGCTCTTGAAAGGGAAATAAAAAGGTTGAAAAGTATTGCTATTCTTCATTTCAGGGACACTTTTACGGCTCATCTTGTTCTCCAAGTACGGTCAACCCAGGCTCCATTTGAGATGAATGCGCATCTCATCGACGACGAAGAATGGTTGAAAGCGAATTCTAGGTTGTATCGCAGCCGACGGAAGAGCAAAGATTTGCCGTAGCCACGACAATCAATGCTCTGGCGGGACTCTGGGCTATACCCATAGCCATGACCGGTCTCTTATCCCATGTTTTTTCCCGTTTGCGCGGCTTGTCCGACCGCCAATTGAGCACTATTCAAGGGGTAGTCCCGCAGATAGCGCTGTCGCTGCTGATGTGCTTGTTTCCTATAATTCTGGGATACCTCACGGATTTGTACCCAGTTTTCGACCGTTGCTCAAAGGAGGTTAAAGTTCAGAAACACTACTTCGTTTTCCTCCATTTTCATGTCTTTCTTGTGGTCTCAGTATCTTCGAGCGTGACGACAATGATTCCGGCAATCGTTAGAGACCTCAACTCTATTCCGTCTATTTTAGCCGAAAATTTACCCAAGGCTTCCGATTATTTTTATTCGTACCTATTACTTCAAGTCGTCACGCAATGCGCAATGGTCCTATTTCGGTTTCCCGAAATCTTGTGGTCGAGCCTATTCCTTCATCGAGAGAAGAGCACGCTGAAGGCGGTCCGCTGGAGTCTTATTTACCCGATATTCACAAATCTGATTTGCATATGTAGGTCACGCACCTCAGAAATGAGAGAATAGGACAGAGGTTAACGTCTCAGGCATAATATTCTCCATAATCTCCCCACTTATTTTGCCCGTTGCGGTCGTTATGTTCGCGATCTTCCGGGTGGTGTATTCTTACCAAGCCATATATGTGCTAGAGAAACGCGAGGACACTGCAGGTTTGCTTTATTGGGAAGCGCTCAATAACGTATTTATAGGTTTATATACCCTGGACCTTTTCTTAGTGGGCCTTTTTGCTCTTCGCAGCGCGATTGGCCCAACTCTGCTCGCTGCGGCCTCGTTTGTTGGGACCGGTTTGGTACAGCGTTATGCTCGAAATGATTTCTACCAGCTCGTTCACTATGCGTCTGGCAGCACTTTTATGTCTGGAATAGCCATCTCTCATCATGCCCGGCACCATACCCCCCCGGTAGGAGGGTCATGATGGACGTTTCAAACCCTCTTTACTAAGCTCCATGTTACTGTACCCGCGGTCCACGGCCGCTCTGAAATCGTCCGCAGTGCTAATTTGCTGGTCAATTCTCCGTACTAAAGCTTGAATTCAAACAAGTTGCGCAGTAAACTCAGAACTACTACAAAGTTTGCATGTACTCTGTCTGGAGTGGGTTACGACTGCTCTTCTACTCTGAAACTTACAACTTTTTTCTCGCCCTAATTCGAAGGCCATGACGATGCGCATCCTTTCTTGTTGTGTATCATCAAGAGATTTGGTGTATTTGAATTACTGCATCTTCATAGTCGTGTCTTAAATACAGCAGCTCGTGACAGACGGTGCCCGGTCTAACGCGGGGGAGTTGCCAGCTTTTGCCAGTGACCAAGCTCTTGGCCAGTGATTACCTTCCAGTCGTATATTTGGGAGTCTCACCACCTGTAATAGGCGGTCGGTCCGATCTAGAAAAGCCCTTGTGTCCCGAGGACAATCGAGACTGAGGGTGATGGGGTACTCTCTCAAGAACCGCCACAAGGGTGGCCAAGATGTTAGACTATCGAGATCTTCAGGATGCAGGCGTATTGTAAAATCATTCAAGCACGGTAGTTCAGCCTCGCAGAAGAGGAGAATATTAGATGTTGAGTCAAGGATCCGCACCGACCGAAGAGAGGGATACTCAATAGGCAGGAGCGGCTCCTCGGCGAATTCGCAGCTGGAAATCTCTATTGCTTCGAGATTTGACCCCAGACTCTGGAGAAGCGTTGCCCATTCTAGGCCACTGGAAAAGCTGATCTCAAAGCGGCGAAGCTGTCGAGCCTGCCCGCAGCAGATGATGCTCCCTTCTTGCGCCCCAGATACTGAGAAGCAAGCTAGATGTGGCAGCGAATCGAACCGTATCTTTGTACTTGGTCTGTTTCCTCCACGTGGACAGTCCAGGCAGTAGCAGCAGAAGTTTAAGGCGAGCGTGTCCAGTGATGGGAGGTCAGGCAGAACGCACAGTCCTGGCTCATGTTCGATGCAGGATAGTTGCAGGTTCCGCAGATGCTTGAAGGACATCGGAAGCATCCAGGTGCGGGGTGACATAAAGTCGACGCTCAAGGTCGTCATGGACGGGACAGTAGCTAGCTGAGCCAAGAGCTGCTGAAAGCTCTCCAAGTCAGGGGGATAGCTGATGCTGTAGTCACGGTTAGCTCGCAGCAATTTGTTCCGGTAATCTGGTAGGAATGCATGCCTGAAGGCCTCCAGACGGTCAAAAAGGGGAAGCAGATCGAAAAACTCCGCCTGAAGCGAATCTTCGTCGCCCCAGATCTCAACAGCCCTGACATGCGTTGCCCACTGCTTGAGTGTGCCAATGAGGCTCCCTTCGAACGGCCGGAAGCGCCGGCTGTTGAGAATTAGCGGGTCATTACCGTCGAAGACGATGTTTACTGCACGAAAGAGAGGAGGAGCTGAAACCGATCGGAGAACTCGGCAGGTGTCGTAAGCGTTCCAGAGCTCCAGGTGATCCAACTGTCACCTTAGTCATTCTCATCATCAATACATGCCAGCCAGAAAACAAGCTATAGGCTGTTGCGTCTTACTTTTTGGGTGACGAGGAACAAAATCTCAGTAGGCAGGGAGAGAAGCGGCATGTCTTCTGGGCTGCGTATGCAGCGCGTGTCTGCTTTCAAGGTGGACTCGCAGCAAAGGAGTAGTCATCCTCCGCAATATATCTGGTGTTTTTAGGCCTGTTGTTTTACAATTGCACGGAACGTTAAAATTTCTGAGGGGTGGGGAGGGGACGAAAGTTGAGTACTGCTTGAGGTGAATGGCATCTCAGACGTCACTGGACGAGCGTCCCCTAGAGATATTGCGAGAAGGGTCCCCGTCACATCTGCTCGCGAACTGCACTATTCAATGGAAATGTTCAACGCTGTCGAGTGTGTGGGCGGAGTGTACGGTGAACTATGCATGGGTGCTCGATGTGCTACCCCACGCCCTCAATTACTTTCTCCAGTGTTGCCCATCAGTGCTGATCAACTACCGCCATTTTTCCTTTGCAATGAAGGATACCCTGTGAGAAAGAAGTCTCACCGCGTCAACGATCCTTAGTCCAAGATGAGTTCTGCACCTTCCCTGCCCAGGCTATAAAATGGGAGTGTAAGGTATTAGATTTCGTCGTGACGATAAAAGACAAAGATACTCCGGTCTGGATAGGTTAAAAGAATTAGTAAACATGCCGGCATGCTCCGGGAACGAATGCTGCGGTCCGTTGCCGACATGGAACACAGGCAACGTGCACCAAACCGCAGCGTCTTCGGCTATATGTCAAGACGAACAATCCTGCAGCACGACGGGCATCACCGCGCAACATGGCCGCCGGCCTCCTCAAGCTGTTCTGAGCACAGAGCCAAGCCCTAATTACCGGCTTGCAAGCTCGCAAACGTGGCCTGATGAAGGGAGACCGCAATCCAGCGGGAACTCTATCAACCCGATGMTAGAGGGCTTTCAGCAGGAGACACAGTTTACGTTGACCCCAGAGGTTACATCCCGCGGAAGCACGGCTGGACAAGTGGAGATGCCGGTATCAAGTTCCTCGATAGCACGCCATTCGCGATATCCGGACCCATATTCGCAGGACCTCTACCTACATACTGTAACCTCTTCTAGCATTGGGTATGGGATGAACTGGCCGATACCAGATCACAATGTGCCGGGCAGGCTAAGGGTAGAATCGTGGGATAATGACGAGTTGCCCATGAATAGTTCCAGTTCAGGATTTTGCCAGTACCCCGAGCCACACGATGGGACCATTTCGGTGGATCCTACAATATTTTCGCACAGAGCCCACACTCAAGGCTTCCAAAGATGGGGAAGAAGAAGTACGGAATCGATCATTGAGCCATACCGACCAGAACCTTTTAGTGGGTTTCCCCTGGGATCTATGGGTTGCGAGCGCCGTTCTGAGTCACTGGCCGCGTCCGTTCCGTACAGGGACGGTCGAACATCGGCTAATGGTTCGCCTGGCCACAATACCGTTGCAAGGCAAGTACATTCTGTGATATTGCCCGGCAAGTCTTTATGGTACTGACACCAGATTCCTTGAAAGAGTACACCCTAGTGCGGTTCCGCTGGAGTTGGGTTTCGGCGTTTCCGCCCAGAGCATCTCTCGCGTACATTCTAGTATGGTCGTGGATACCTGTGAAGTTGCTAGCCACGCCTTGCGCTGTAGCCTTATGGAGCACCAGAGGCAGGGCCTCGCCTGGATGAACGAACTGGAAAAAAGCGCACGAAGAGGCGGGATCCTAGCAGACGATATGGGTCTTGGAAAAACCGTTCAGGCGCTATCGCTCATTGTAGTGCGTCCAGGATCGATCATGGAACGGCACGCAACTCTCATCATCGCGCCAGCTGGATTGGTCCAGCAGTGGAAGGAATCGATCAAGCAGTTGCTGAATCCCGGCAGTTACCAGCTTAGAGTGTATGTGCATCACGGCAGCAAACGACCGGTGTCCTTTGCGCACTTGCATGACCATGATATTGTTATCACTACATATGGTACCGTGGCGGCTGAATGGCAAAGGAAACAGAGCCTCGACCACGCGTCATTCTCCGGGAGTGAACCGATCTTAGGCCCTTCTAGTCGATGGCACCGGGTCGTCCTCGATGAGGCTCAGAACATCAAGAATGACCGCTCAAATGCGGCCATGGGCTGCTGCGCGATTGATGCCACCTACCGATGGTGCCTGAGTGCGACCCCACTCATGAACCACCAGCGGGAGCTGTATTCGTTGTTAAAGTTCCTCCGTGTCGCCGAGTACACCGGTGTCGATGGGACAGTAAGTCTTCCCTCGGTAGGCCCATTAAATTTGTTTTATCAAGATCCCAGTGGTCCTGTGCTGTATTAACTTCTTTCTCGTCTTCTCGCCACCATCAACCCGCGACTGACTTTATGCTCCAGGCCTTTCAATCGGCATTTAATAGCGGTTACGAGTATGAACGGAGGGGAGCGGCCGAGCAACTGCAAAGCGTTCTACAAACGATACTCCTGCGACGTACGAAGTCATCGGTTATTGGCGGTCGGCCAATCGTTCAGCTGCCTTCCCGGACTACAGAGAAGGTGTACGTGGATCTTAACGAAGAAGAGCGAAGACTGTACACGGCCCTTGAGGGTAGCGTGCATGCCCAACTGGATCACTACCCGAACGGCGAAGCGAGGCGTCACAGTGTCACACATATGATTTCTCTCTTACAGCGCCTCCAACGCGCGTGCTGCCACCCGTTCCTTGTAACTGACGACAGCAGACCACTCGGAAAGCATATTTTGACGGAAGAGCAATTGATGGGGAATGCCCGACAATTACCTGAGGCGGTAATTCTCCGCCTCCGTGTAGCCGAGGATCTTCTCGACTGCCCTATTTGCTTCGACGTGGTGGAAGATCCCATGATCTTCTTTCCATGCGGACACAGTGCCTGTGTCGACTGCTTTGGCCGGATTTCCAGCGCTCGGGAGGTGCGATGCCACAGTTGTCGTGCAGTGATCGATCCCGCCAGAGCAACGAACTACGTCTCATTCGCACGATCCAATGCACTTCTGCTGGAAGACAGTGTCTCGGCTACCGAGTCGCCTGTGCCAGAGGTTGTCGCCGGAATGGCCGAATACCCAAAGGCGGGTAGTCAGAGGGGTGGCGGATCGAACTCTACTCGGGAGAGTGACCCAAGTGCTTTTCAGAGCGGCGTACATACGCAGCAGTGGCGTACCGCTTTCCGACCTAACGAAGGCGAATCCACACAGAGGTTGTCGTTATTGCGGAAACAATCAAGCAGGAGCTCTGCCGCCAGACGCAGCTACCGGCAAGCGCTTGAAAATGCATGGATTACTAGCTCGAAAATCGATAAGGCTCTAGAGATAGTGGAGCAAATACAGAACGACGGAACAGGAGATAAAATAATCATATTCAGCCAATTTACCTCCCTGTTGGACCTTGTGGAGATACCACTCCGGCGGCGAGGCTGGCTTTTTGGTCGCTACGACGGAAGTATGAGACTCGCAGACCGCCACGCTGTAGTAGTTGAGTTCTCGACGAACCCTAACTGCAGACTCATGTTAGTATCTCTGCGGGCTGGAAACGCGGGCCTGAACCTCACCGCCGCGTCAAAAGTCATAATCCTCGATCCGTTCTGGAACCCCTTTGTCGAAGAACAGGCGATAGGTCGCGTGCATCGAATTGGCCAACAGCGACCAGTGCATGTCTTCCGTATTCTTATTCCTGATACGGTTGAGGACCGCATTCAAAATCTTCAAGATGAAAAGCGCCGGCTTGTCCAAGGAACCCTAAGCGACGCCGCTGATTCAGCCGTCCGTCTAGGAAGGCAGAACTTAACATATCTCTTGGTTGGTCCCACGTCCTTCGCAAGGAAGCCAGTGTAATCTTACATGTAATGACACACTGATTTTTGCTCATCCTTTTAGGGCCGAGAAGAATTGCCCCTAACGAGGTAATGTGGGCGGTGAGATGTTGCTTGTGGCATACCGTGGTCATTTGTGAAAGAGTTTCGCAACGAATATGCGCGAATCCACTAGAAATTCAGGTTCAATTAGAAATCCTTAAATAGAAGGGTTGAATGATGAAGAAATCGTTGGATAAAGGTGTACAAGGAAATGCAGATCACTACTGAAGGACTTGTGTTTTCGGTCCATTGCCCGACTCAATGCCAGAAGACGGATCGTGGCAGTGACCTATCTAAGAGTACGCCGACTCCAACGCTTCGTGACGCCTAGCACTGTTTCTTATGGATTTGATGGCGGCAGAAAATATTCAGTTAGCTGTGCTTGACTAACAATGATTGCTTTGGATCAAGGCTACGTAGACTATCGATGAGCGGCCATTATCAAACTAAATGGATTAAAAGCGTGGAGATCACTCTGCTGTATGTCATTTCTTCAGATGGCCTGCCAGCAGACAGTGAACATTGGTGGTTATTGGACGTCAAAGATATATTGGAGGTTTCGCAGCCCAGTGTGAGTCAGCTTCCTTCATAGCACGAAGACATGCGGTGCATTCTGAATATGTACTGGAGTTGAGTAATATGCCACTACAGAACCTTCTGTGAACTCCAACAAGCTGCTATCTCTGGCCTTGGTCTGCGGATATTACCACATCTTAGGGTGCATTGAGCGCCCATGTATATATGGGCCGATAGTCTCATGTCTATCCTAATTTTTGCGTGTAGATCCGCGAAAGGTACAAGCGGAATGGCCCAATTACCTTCAAACTGGTGACCCTTTGAGATCACAAACTCGGTGAGCAAAACTGGATCGACGAATCAAGACGCCATTCCAATAAGTCTCTGAGTGCTGGAGTCCGTAAATGTCTGGTGATCTCCAGCTGAACTGTTTAATTGAAGAATTTGATTACATAAGGACTGGACAAAGCACCATCTAGCCATGGACGGGTTCGGACGGTTGAACGGACAAGCCAGAGAGCTGGGGAATTGGTGTGGCTATGCTGGAAGTGTTCAATAGACAAAATCTTAGCGTGTGTGCACACTTCGCAGTAGTCCAGCCCCCCTTGGTCAACATGGTTCAAGAGTGCGTTAGATGACGGGCACATTAATTACGCTCCTAATTTACACCCTTTCCTTTATCGTAACCTGTTCAGCTTAACCGTAGTGTTATGACAGTGCGGCATAGCGCGCTCAGTAGGAAAGAATTCATTCTCACTATCCGTCAAGAAGGAGTTGGAGTTGAAGCCATATAAATTTTTTAGGCAAAGTTTCGCTGGTGAGGAATGAGGGATCAGTATGCTACGTTCGATGTTAACGCAGGCTACCCAAGTCTATCTCATTTTTGATCAGATGACTGTAGTAGCGTCCTGTCTGTTTCGCAGTGACTGGCTGGTTGATCAACTCACCACAGCGGGCCAACGAAAACTGGCGCGAGAATTTCGCCCACTACATGGTCAAGTTGTTACGCACTTGCCTAGGGTGTCAGCCTTCCTCAGCCAAGCGGGACAGGTTGATGAGGCAGAACAAGGTTGTTTACCTATAAATACCCGTCAGATATTCTCTTCGGCTTCTCTTCTTCTTATTTCTACACATCGTTTTACAGCACTTTCTGTTTACGAAAGAACCATGGTGACCTACCGAACATTGCCTGTTAGGCCTTATACTCAGCTAACTTATTCTCCTCCAACAGCCTCTACGTCAGATTTATCCCGACTTTGATCAAGCCCCGAGTGACCGGAGCACTATAGAGTATGAAAACGAGATATTGTTTCCAATGACAGACGCTGAATGTACCCAGTATTATCGCTGTTCACGGACTCAACTCTGTCGATGCAAGCGGGAGGTGCTCAGAATCTTCCTGGCGCAACCCGAAGGCGCCCGGAGAATTTTGGCCTGTTGACTTTATTGGGGCGCACAGCTTGAGTGCGCGACTGCTGGTTTACGAGTTCGACTCAACCGTCACTTTTAGTAAAGATTCAGAGATGTCCAGAGAGGCAAATGGCTTGCTACGCCAGATAAGCCTTAAACGATCAACTACAGTATGTGGCAGCTTCTGGTCTTCTTCCAAAGGCCCTATAAATAATAATCACAGGATCCGCGCACACAAATCATATTTTTATGTCATGGACTAGGGGGTATTCTCGTGAAACAGGTATGTGAGAGGAAACAAGAAGGCTGAAACTAACAACGTCAACAGGCGTTGGTTAATGCGTCCCAAAATAACGATTACCGTGGAATCAAAAGGGCCACGTAGGTCACTAAATGAAAATGCATAGTGCTGAGAGCTGATTGCGCAAAGGAAAGGACTCGCTTTCTTTGGGACACCTCATCGAGCGCCAACAAAGGAGACTCCTGGTATTATGGAAAAGGCGTTCTCTTTTGTTCGACTCGGCAAACCGCTACAATCGCCTTATGACTCGAAGCTTCTGACAGTTCAAGGTTTTCGTGATCAACTTGAGGATTACCGCTTCATTTCTTTCTACAGTGACTCAGATGAGGTGAGTGCCGCCCTTCAGCTGCAGCTGTAAAGGTTGCTGGCTGATATGATTAGGTCTTCCCATGCAGTTCGGCCATAATGAATCTAGCAGGCAACCGGGAGACACAGGTTCGCCTGAGCGCGAACCACGAAGGTCTATGCCGTCTCAGTAAAGGCTCGGATGACTATAAGAAGGTCGCTCGAAATTTGCTAGAGCTTTGCTCACCCAAACGATGAGAGACCGTTCCATTGAGCATGGTCTGTGGGTTTGGATAACGCTGAAGTTGATAAAGACTTAAACACTGGCGCCCTTCAGAGCATCTCAGCGGCGGCAGTTTCCGATTCTGTGTTGGATCTGTTTGCGCTTCAAGCTTCAGACATGACAGAGCTCTCGCTCCATCTCTTGTGGTCTTCCTTGCAACCTATTCAATGCATGAATTAGACCTGAAATCGATTTATCTTTCTAGGGTACCGTTGTTTGGCCAATTATTATGTCAATTGAGCTGTCGTTATCGTAGCGACAGAATTCTTTTTCGAGCCGCCCGTCGCTTAACATTACTTAACATAATTGCGTCGTAGATTCACGGAGTTCAAGGTAGGAAGAACAGCGGATTAGGTACAGTACCGGTCAGGTATCCCACTTGTAGGTGACAACGGGGCGCCAGATGAAGACAAAAGGTCAGCGGGTGCACTTCTGATGTAACTGACCCCTACTACGTTGCGGCTTAGTAAGACTAAGCCGCAACGTAGTAGGGGTCAGTTACCGCGCAATAGTAAGCTGGCGTGCACCAACCCTGGCTTCCATCAATTGTGCACTGTATTTATAACCCCATGACGGTCTCCACATTAGTTTCCGCTACTGGAGTGGCTAACTGCAGAAAGATAGTAGTACAGTAGATTGAATAAATCGACGTAGACCGATGCTGAAATAAGGCTAGATTATTGATATGACCCTAGGCTGACGCGTGCGTTGTCCAGTCACCTTCTAGACCAGCAGTATTATGCATCTACATTTGATCATGATACTAGGTGCACAGTAGAGATGCGCCCGTCAATGGATTCCTCGGCAACCGCAGATCCCAATGTTCACTGACAAGCTTCCAACTGATTTGTCCTGATGTGCGGTAGGAATGTCGTCGAAGTGGTCTGTTTGCTGACATACGTAAACACACATTGGAGGCCACTACGCCCTCATAGGTGAGTAACAACCCCAGGTTCACGGGTTAAGATCAGGCGAAGATTGATTTACTGCACTGCGAATCAAGCTTTTGTAACAACCAAGTTATTTGCCGAACTAGAGTACTGATAACGAAAAGCAACAAAGATAAAAGGGTGGTTGTACTGTATCTAAACTCTCCTCCGCTTAATTAATGCCTGGGAATTAGAGGATTCCCTGAACAAGAAAGACTGGAGAGGTGGCCTGTGCTTGGAGAGTTCTCCAATAATGCGCGAGACTACCATTGCATGTCGGTGTGCAGTATCCGCCGCAAGGGAGCCACGAGACTTGCCATCTTCCGAGTTTAGCTGCTTGCTGTCATTCAGGGTGGAAGGCTGGTCTTCTGCAGCAGTAGCTAATTGGGGGAGCTGCGAGGGCACCGATTCCGCGACCGTCCTATCCCGTAGCATAGCCGGTTGATCAACTGCGGGACATATGGTAACAGTAAGAGGAGAACCAGGGTCCCGGGTTTCACAGTCCGCTGCATTGACAGGCACGGCACAATCCGCGAGCACGTCGTCAATCCACTGAGGATTAGTGCAGCCTGGGACAGCCAGAAGAATGACGTCTGGAGCCAATTGTTGAAGCTCTGGCTTCGTAGAGGAAGCGCCTATTTTCCGAAGACTGACCGCGTATCCCCGAGCCAGAAGCGTTGTCATCGTTTCTGCCAGCCCCTCCCAGAACTCCGCTTTCTCTCTGACGCGATGCAGCTCAAGAACGATAAAATCTGCACTCCATACAGCTGACAGAGCCACTAAGGTGCAGCACCGGAGTAAGTGTGTGTGTTCCCTCGACCATACTGCGGCCGCAACTGTATCGGTAGGATCTGGGTCCGGTAAAGCTGACCTGCTGCAGCCCGCAATAGTCACTATACGGCTCGGCTGTGGCTCTTCTAGGCCTGGTAATTTGACCTTCCCGCTATCGACGTCGGCAATCACAGACGCAGGGTCACCGGAGCAGAGAAAAGCGCTGGGACAATGGTCCTACGAATGATCCACCATTAGCCGCAGTCTGCAAATCTTAGAAGATCCAGACAGTTGCGGAATCTTATATCTTACCAGCCACCATTGACGAGTTTCAATGTCCCCTATGACTGCCGCTCGAACGGGGTATCCTGCCTGCATAAAGCCGGCAGACAAGTTCGTGTCACCGAAGGAAACATCAAAAACTGACGCAACAGGGATTGTTGACAACGGAGCTGCACGGCCACGGTCAGGTAAAGGAGGTGTCAGCGGAGTCACGAAGAACCCGTCGTCCTGTAGGTCGCCGCGAGCCGCATACCGTGCGAAATACTCCGTTCTTAAATCTACTCGTCGGCAAGGTTAGTAGTCATCACTCCGATGGCTAAGAGCAGGATGGTTACCACTGCCAGGAGTCCGCGTGACATGAGTCACATTAAGATGTTGACCGTCACCACCAATGTCCTCCAACTCTACGTCCTTGATATCGATCAGTTCCGCGTCCTCTTCCTCGGCCATTTTTGCAATATCCCGGAACTGAAGGAGCAGTTCCCTGTCACTAGGTACGTTACTCTTCCCCTGGAAAACAAAGTGATTGGCAAGGAAGGAATATTTTGTCACGAGTAATCGGGGAGAATCGTTATCTGTGTCGGTGGGCAGGAGAATGTCATGGATATAAAAGATGTAACGAGCAGTTTGGCCCTGGCCATTCGGCTCCCTCAACGTTACGCGGACGTACGCCCTTCGGGAKAACTGTATATATTGGTCGCATGATCGATAGTGTGCGTTTACCTAGGGAAGATTAGTGAATGAGAGCAAATGGGAAGAAAATACGTGAAGGGAAACATTGCCTGAATATCAAAACAAGATAAACATCGACAGGAAACACAAGGATGACTTACCTGAGAGCTTAGAGACGGGCTACTCGCGGTATCCGGCAGGGATCGAGGTATTTCCGCCTCCTGAACACATGTCTCGTCCACAATCCAAGGCACTGAGGATAGGCTGTTCTCGCGGGGCATGACCTGTCGAGGACTTATCGCCATGAGGCCCTGATCCCTGTCGGTGTCAGTTGTGGATGCGCCTCCCGGCACAGCAACAATTTCGTCTCCTCTAGGAAGGAAAGAAAGGGAGCATGTAGATAAGTCAGAAACGTGAGATTCAGCTATGGATCCATCACTCCGAGGAGAAGTACATTCGCGTCCAGGGACAAAACTTCTCTCGTCGGGCAGCTGTGAACTCTGCAAATCCTGGGTGCACCACACCGCAGGCCTATGGGCATTTGCTGTTCCCCTGCTGGCCGCCTCCGTGTCCGGTATTATGGTCCTCTTTTGTCCGGGAGCGCTCAGTTGAGGGAGCGAATCGGCTGCTGTATCTCGGCTCTGAACGTTCTCTATGGCGCAACCCAAAACAATCTCACCGTTTCGCAACGACACCGTCTGCTGCAACATTCCGATTAGCGCCCCATGGGCCGCTCGAACGTGCCCAGATGTCTGATAGCAATCGGAAGCGCCATCCAAGTCTTGCATTTTCGCGATAATGGGTACCCATGGCCCTTGGTTCAGATCACTGAAGCGAACGGTCCGCACGTCGAGCGGGACCGTCTTTCGTGGACACTCACAGACGTCCTCTTCCATATCATACGCCAGACTTTCCATGCCATTTATGCCAGTGGCACAACTTGACCCGTGCAGGACCACCATGTACCTGACTTGGGAACCATACAACTGAGCGAACGCAAGACTGTGGCCCGTGGTAAAAGAGACCTCTAGTGCCCGTTCATCCTCCGTAGGTGACAACCGAATCATGCGGGGCATCTGCTCGAGCTGTTGCTGGCATTCCCGAGTTAGACGTTCTATTGACAGGCTGGGTTCCTCGTGGGCCGGACTGTATATAATCGCCAAGGCTCGGCAATACAGTTCTTGTACAACGTGATGACAGACGAAAGTGCTAGGTTCCGGTTCGATTGATGGATGGGACGCATGGTTTACCCCGCGGTACTGAAGCCATTTGTCGTGGATATATAGGACGTGGTCATCCGCCTGGTACGCGAGGTCAATAGTATGGATATCGCACCGAACAAAAACGAGCTTCATTTTCTGCGTGCGAGCATCTAGCGCGAACAATGAGCGGAGAGTGCTTGCCACTCCCTGTGCAAATACAGTGCCAGGGATTGGGGACTCCGCTGAAGCTTTCAGTCGGCTCTGCAGCTCTTCAAATGGAGTGCGGACCTGACCATGTTTCTGTAGTACTTGCCATAGCTGGTTCGGTAGTGGGTGCGGCGTTTTCTTGAGTTCTGTTTGAATGACGACAATATCCTACCAAACACGAAGGGTCATAAGCAGACGTGGAGGCAAAGCGTAATATTGTCCAAGGAAGGTTCAACATGCGTGTCGGAAGATTGATTCCTAGGGCTCACAGAACAACGAAACTCACCTTCTCTTGGCGGGTTTGGGGATAGTAAAACAAATCCTTCATTTTCGATACGTGACTCAGTACGCCCCACATCTTCTTGGCCGTAAGTTCCATCACCCATTGGTGCGCACCATTCACTTCGATTGGAGGTGGGACACAGTGGAAGAGGTCGAGATACCTTGGGAGAACTGAGGCTTCCGCCTGGGCTATCGCATGCTCCCAGATTGAGTGAATATCTTGTGTGACCTGGTGGACGTTCATTAGCCGCCTACGGTCCCGATCTACGCTGCCGCGGATCAAGTTGTAGCCGAAGTGAAACGTCTGATCATTGATGCTTTGCTCTTGCACACGGATGCCTTTCAAAAACAGGCGCCCTCGATACATCGGTTCCAAGAGGAGGTCTCCGGCGGCTGTCCGAATTCGCCCGGCGGGTGCGTGAAGGTCGACCGTATCGCGTATCCAAGCAGTGAACTCTCTGTAAGAGAGCCGCTCTCCCTTCTGTCCTCTTTCCACCGTCACTGACACGTCTTCCCAGACACTAGGGCTAGGGGCCGTATCTGTTCCTCTACTACTGGTCCCCATCGGCTCGCCTCTGGCTTTGGCGGGTGTGAGACGACAGTGAAAGTTGTTCTTTGATTGGCCGTTGAATCCAAAATTCCAGTAAAACCCACTTGCTGCGATCTTAACGTGATGGTTATTGCGGGAGAGCACAAGGGCAGCGATTTTAAGTCCTTCCCCGTGGCCCCCAGCCAAGTTCTCATTGTCCTTTTTGGTCGTATGGCCCATCTCCAGGCACTGAAGGTCCAAGGTCGCATGGAAATTTGTAAACTCGGCGCTCCCTCGTTTTCTATCGAATCGAATATATCCAAGGAGTGCTGCTCCGGATGATTGCTGCTCTCCTTCAGCCTGCTGCTGAACCGGTCGTCCTTCGACAAGGATTCGTATCTCATCCCGCGTTTTGTCCCGCGTTTCTAAGACCTGCGGAGCGAAATCTAGCAAGCTGATATGATGCCTCTGGACTATTGCGTCTTTCCTGCACCTCGACTCAGAATAACAAGAAGCAGGGTTAAGAACGGAAAAATGATGCTTCTTCATCTGTACGGAATTGGGCAAGATCAACACTATAAAACGAAGCTTACCAATTCTGATATAGCTCTCGGAAGGCATCCTGGACTTGCCAGTCCGCAGCGTAGCTTCGAGTAAGACCGAGTCCAATCCTGCGGGGAACTGCTGCTCTGGGAGCGTCCTCCTGGTTCTCCTGACTTGAGTGGTACGCAGTCGTAGCCGCTACCCGATCAGTATGCATAAGATCCATTTCTCTCACCAACGTGATTGATTTGTAAGTCCACAGAGAAATATCCTGTCTACGGTGAGTCGTGCGCTGTGGTGGTAAACTTCGATGATCTGGTCATCGGGACGCCTCGCTCTTTAAGCTTCTCAAGGAAGCTACTGATTATCATAAACAACGAGCGCACAGCCTGTCACCTAGAGAATCGTGTCCATCTACTTTTGGTAGTCTGAGGTCCGTCCATTCTTGACGGTGATCGATGAGCCAGTCATGATTTGGTTGAACGGTAATCATCAACGCACGGGAAAAAAAGCAGCAGTCTCTCCTTTGTGGTTGATTGGCGTACTTTAGAACAAGCGCCTGTCTGATATTCACATCGTATCAATTCACTTTTTGAGAGGTCGACATCCTCTCACCCGCGTAGCGGTGCTGTTACTACGGAGCTGGTCTATTGGTTCATTCTATCTGTGGTTGCTACGTAGCGAGAATTCCAACGAGTTCACCGGAGGCCCACATCTCGAAATCTTGAGACCGCTCATTTCTGCGGGCACACAAGGTGTATACGAAATTCTTCTAAGATGGACGCGACCTCCAAAGCAAAAACAATTATATAATTGAGATCACTGGTTTCATCACCGTGACGGCTTACTCCAACTTAACTGTTCAGCACATATGCTTGGAGGCCAGAGTTACAACTACGGAAGGAATTAGGCAGCAGGAGGGCGTCATGAATGCGGTAATCCTCAAGCTCAAGTTTATCTGCAGATTGGTCTGAACGTCGTTGTAGGACATAACGCACTTTCTTGACAATCTGTCCATCATGGGTCCCCTGATTGCCAAGGTTCTAGAAGAAGGGGACCGTGAGCTTCGCAAAGAGAGGGCTGCACGTCATCGAGCAGAGGAAGAGCTCCATGGCATGAACGAGCTCACAGATATCCTCCTTCACCTCATCGAGAAGATCTGGGCATTTAGATGCACAAACCATCAAACCCCAGAAGACACTTCTCAGCAGCAACGTGCAACGTTGGAGTCAATTCTCGACTCGGCATTGGCTCAGCTCGAGCTGCAAAGCGTCCAAATTGAGTATGAGCAACTCCGCCGGGAGAATGACCAGCTCCGAGCCCCCAATAACTGGCAGTTCGAGAAGTAACGTAAGTGCCTTCGTATGCGCCGCCGTGTTTACTCGCTAGCGCCGGGTCCCATCAGCAGTGCGAACAATTTGCGCACAAGCTGAGGAGGAAGTCGGATCACGTTCCAGGAAGGACAGGCTGCTGCTGCACCGTATTATAAGACAGAAATCGAGGCCCGAGCAAGGGGTTCGTCCATTACAATTATGTACATAAGGTCTATGTATTTCGGATGCGTGTCATCCAATGTTATGTTAGCCAAGCAGGCAGTTACTGCAGGGCAATCGCGTGGAAGATGCCGTCGGAATGAGATAATGCAGAGTTGAGTGAGTTGTTAAAGCGACGACATTACCTCTAACGATGGGCGAGCATAGATACCAATGCCGAGCGCCAGTAACGCTGTTCAACAATGCCTTAAGCAAAAGCGGGTGGGCCGAGAACAAAGTTCAACCACCTTGTTCAATATTAGGGGCACGGTCAATATTCGTGCATACTGAGTTAGCAAGAACATTTTCTGAACTACATGAGAAACACAACATCACGATAGATATTGATGAACCAAAGCGTTATTAGAGTGTACTCTTTAACAACCCAGGAATGGGTCTCAGTACTGTTGAGCATGGTTCAACCGAAATATATACGCAAGCAAGGGAAGCCGGTTGAACACTGCTTTCTGTTGCCTAGCGAGAAAATTGTGCGCTATTAGTCCTAGTTTAAGGATGGCTTGCAAAGGCCACTGTAGTTCTCATTTCTTGCGACTGCATGGCTCAAGAAAGCATTTCAACGAGTTGAACCTTCAACCCTGGCAGACGTGCGACAGTACGAAATTCCCCGTAAGGTTCAATGGCAATAGGCTTTGACGGCTGGATTTCCTCCGCTTAATAGTCGCCCAGACAAGCCACTCGCTAGCAGACTAGCCAAAAGAAAAACAAATCTTTAACCAGTTAATTGTCATAAATGACCCTGCACTTCGTTGAATGACTGCAGTGGTTTGTTGCTTGTTGACAGGAGCACCTGATGGCGGTGCTTGACTCAAGACCACGACTGGTCAAACAGACCAATTGTTGGGATCTCACGCGGCCAACTGGGACAAATAGCGAATAGTTTGGCCGTAACTGGTCACCAGTCGCTGCGGTCTTACATGGAATCGCATTAGGCCGTAGCCTTAGATAGGCTCCCCCCATCCACGTTTCCTGGTAGGAAGGCAAAGTATGTGTGTATTGCGATGGTTTCTGTATACAGAGCAAAAGTAGGAGGGACAAAACTGAATCGCGACCAGGTGGAGATGATGAGGCACAGTTAGGATTGAGTAGTCGACTCCTGTGAGACAGTTGCAGGAGAGAGGAAGCCCCAATAATACTACGGGATCCCCTATTAGAGTATGGTGGCTGCAACCTTAAACCTCCAGCAACCGACCGCTTGCCGATATGCCTCCGTTGGACTCGCGACCAGCATTTGTTCAACTCATAGACTGTTCCACAACATACTGAGCTTCAAGTCAACGAAATCCCCCGGTTTATCGAGGCAGATTTCTAAACTCCGAGCATTATGCTACATCAATCTTCCGTTCACACGGTAGTTTGCTGATTATGCTTCGTACCTGCCAGCCGTTCAGTGTCTGTCGCTACAGTACTTTGTTGATCTACGAGCACCTCTAGTCGAACGTTGTGCATATTACGAGCACGAGCAACTTCAACCTTTTGCGTGCATTTGTTTCTTGTTTCTCTCGCACCACCTTGTCGCATGGAAAGCTATTGGGAGCTGTGGTTAGAACTGCGTGAGAGGTCGCTGTCGATAACCGTAGTAACGGAGATATTAGACTGGCACATGCCCGGACTTCAGAAAGCAGGATCAGGCATTCCTCCCTCACGGCCCTGAGCCACCCGTGTTGTATCCAGCTCCGTCACGGCCC